GTATAATCGTACTCTTCACCCAATAAAAAAAGTATACGATTAAAAACAAAAACTGAAAACTTCGGATACCAAAAAAAATGCGAAAAAAGACGAAAGAAAAGGCGATAATATTACAGTTATTTTCCCTCACCTCATGGATGACGGTTCGATTTTCCAATGACGGAGGAAAGCATTTTTCGGCACACTCCCACTCATCCTCGTGCATTCCCACGATTGATCATGGATCAATCGTGATGACAAGTTACCCAGAGCAATTAATTTCAGAGAGATATATTTATCCAAGCTAGGAGACAAACAAAACACTCAACCGCACTTCAAACAAATTCCGAACTCACTTCCTTTGAATCAAATACACACACCGTCGATAACAATGGCAGACAACCTACGTCGAGCAATTCAAGACATCAATATCAGAGCAGATGACCCCCTATTTGTGTTACCTTCGGAGATCGTTCACCAAGCGATAGCGGCAAACCGGTTTGTGATAATTGGTCGGCCGGTCATCCCGAGAAGACAGAACCTCCGGTCTATTGTCGTAAATCTACCACGAATTTGGAGAGTGGTGAGACACGCTTACGGCAGAATCATAGAAGGGCGAAGGTTCCAGTTTGTTTTCTCTATGGAAGAGGCTCTTGAATGGGTGCTTCGCCGCGGCCTGTGGGCTTTTGCTGACCATATGCTCATACTCCAAAGATGGACTCCGCGCACAAATCCAAAAGAAATGCACTGTATACCGTTTTGGGTCCAAATCAGGGGAATACCCTTTCAATATCTGAGTCATGATGTCATTGCGCATATAGGAAGGGCTCTCGGCATGCTTTTGGAGGTGGAATTCAATCTGGAGATGGCAGCAAGGGTGGAATTCGTAAGAGTATGCATCGACTGGGACATCCACAACCCACTACGATTCCAACGAAACTTTCAATTCTCTCTGGGAACCAACACGTTGCTGCGGTTTACTTACGAGAGACTACGGGGTTTCTGTGAAATATGCGGAATGTTGACGCATGATTCCGGTAATTGTCTCATTCAAAATGGCGGACCAGATCCTGATAACATTGATGATCAAGACGAGGGAGACAGTGATGAGGATCTGATTATGGAGCACCAAGGAGAACGTGAAGAAAGAGCACATGGGGTTTTTGAGGAATTAAATGAGGAAGGTATGGATATAGAAGCCCTTCAAGAACGACAGATCAATGTAGATCCGGATGATGCAACTCACGAGCCAGTACAACACGTGATGGTTCAAAATGCAGAGCCCTATCCGACTGCTGGAAATGACAATGTTGCAGAGAATGAGTATCTTCAAGGAGACATAAGCCTTGGGGAAACATCGTTTGTAATGAATCATAGTGATGAGCACAAAATTGGGGCAACACGAGACACAACTATGGAGGCTCTCACTGAAACAGCACAAACAACCAGAAACGCAAAAAGGAAGTATATCGAAGACGGCGACAAAGCAGGGGAATACTTCGCAAAACGACCAAAAAAGGGTGAAAGTAGCAGTCAGACAGAAGATATTGACAGCAAAGCAACCAAGAGAGGCACGGTGGGCCCTGAACCACCTCATGCGCCATGAGGACAGCCTGCTGGAACTGTCAAGATTTGGGCAATGACCTTACAGTTCGACGCCTAAAGGAGATAAACAAGAAATATCTCCCATACATCATTTGCCTGTCAGAAACAAAGCAACAAAATGACTACATCCGTGATGTAGGGGCTCAGTTAGGATTTCTCAATTACATTACTGTTCCTCCAGTAGGTTTAAGTGGTGGACTAGCCATCTTTTGGAAGCAATCAGTTCATATGTCTTTCCTTTCTCAATTTCCAAATCTTGTAGATGCTGAAATATCTAGTAATGGAATGTCTTTATATTTCTCTTTGATGTATGGCCATCCCATTACTAGCTTAAGGCATCATACTTTGGAAAGGTTAGAACGAATTGCAACTTCTAGAAATGGATCTCCTTGGATAATATTGGGGGATATGAATGAAATTCTTCACAACAATGAAAAAGTAGGAGGTCGTAAGCGAGCAGAAAAATCATTTCAGGAGTTTAGAAATATGGTCAAACACTGCAACTTTACAGACTTGAGGGCTATAGGGAATAGATTTTCTTGGTATGGGAAAAGAGGTAAACATGAGGTTTCTTGCTGTTTAGATAGAACGATGGCAAACAGTAGTTGGTTAACATTGTATCCAGATTCTGAAACAGAGTACTTAGAAATTGCAGAGTCAGATCATCGTCCTCTTGTAACGTTTATCTCTGATGCAGTAACGGATCGTAGAGGTTTCTTTAGATATGATGGACGTTTCATGAATCAAGAAGGCTTTCAGGAAACGGTTCTACAGGGATGGACAGACCCAGCTTCGACTGGAACCGATAGCCCTACTATACAACAAAGATTGAAAAACTGCAGGAAAAACATATCTCGATGGAAGAAAAAACACCGTACAAACGCTGCAGAACGTATCGCTATTCTACGAAACCAAATCGATACAGCAATAACAACTGGTTCCCTTACAACAGAACAACGAAACGAGTTAAAGACACAACTGCATCAAGCCTACATAGACGAGGAAAAGTATTGGCAACTTAAAAGCAGAGTTAACTGGCTTAAGGAGGGCGATCGTAATACACATTACTTTCATACGACTACAACAACGAGGAGGGCGAAAAACTGTATTCGATCAATACTAGATGAGCAAGGAGCAGTCAGGAAAAGCAATAAGGATATAGAAAGTGTAGCAGAACAATACTTCACAACGTTATTTTCCTCAAATACGACCCCTGAGCTCTACTTTGAAGAGACGTTTCGCGGCTTTCAACGGAGAGTAACAGATGACATGAACCAAGACCTTGTACGAGAGATTACAACAGAGGAAATACTAATAGCATTCACAGCATCGGTCCACGTCGTGCACCAGGTCCAGACGGTTTCTTTGCGGATTTTTATCAGACATTCTGGACTCAGATACAAGATACAATAGTTCCGGAAATCAAAATTTTCTTTGAACAAGGAATTTTGGATCCCTTACATAACCATACTAACCTATGCCTTATACCGAAGGTGACACCTCCAACAACTATGGCAGAATTCCGACCGATAGCATTGTGCAACGTCTTCTATAAGATAATCTCAAAGATCCTCGTCAACCGATTGAAACCACACCTAACAGCATTGGTATCAGAGAATCAGGCAGTTTTCATCCTCGGAAGAGTTATAACAGATAATGTCGGCATTGCCCATGAGGTTTATCACAGTTTAAAGGTCAGAAAACGTCAAGCTCTATCGTATATGGCTCTAAAAACAGATATAACAAAAGCATATGATAGATTAGAGTGGTCTTTCCTCTCGGAAACAATGTCGAAGATGGGTTTCTCTGAGAAATGGATAGGCTGGATAATGACATGCGTTACTTCTGTCCGATATTCTGTCTTAATAAACGGAGCAGCTGAGGGATATGTATTACCGGAACGAGGTTTACGAAAAGGTGACCCATTATCTCCATATTTATTCATATTATGCGCGGAGGTTCTTTCCCATCTAATGAATATGGCTACGATAGATCGACGAATCCAAGGAATTAAAATCAGCAACAGGTCTCCAGCGGTGAGTCATCTGTTGTTTGCTGATGACTCATTATTCTTCACGCTGGCAAATCCAAAATCAGGAAAAGCCTTAAAAAAGATCCTCAGCCTCTATGAAACAGTTTCTGGCCAAGCGGTTAATCTCAACAAATCTGCGATCACTTTTGGAAGCAAAGTCCGGCAAAACGTAAGCGACAGATGCGCAATCTACTAGGCATACATAACGATGGCGGGGGAGGACGATATCTCGGCCTCCCTGAGCAGTTTGGTAGTAAGAAAGGAGAGATGCTACAATACATCAAAGCGAAAGTTATGTCTAAAACCAAAGGCTGGAACAAAACATTCCTATCTCAAGGGGGAAAAGAAGTTTTGCTTAAGTCAGTGGCGTGTGCCATGCCAGTCTATTCTATGAATGTTTTCCAACTACCAAAACAAATACTGGAAGAAATAAATGCAATCCTCGCTCGATTTTGGTGGGGTAAAGGTAATGACCAGAAAGGCATGCATTGGTATGCATGGAAAAGGCTTAGTATTCCAAAGAAGGAAGGAGGGCTGGGTTTCCGAGACTTAGAACAATTTAACAGAGCTTTACTTGCAAAGCAAGTTTGGAGAATCTTTCAACAACCGCAAGGCCTTATGTCTAGGGTACTCAGGGGGCGATACTTCCCAGCAAATAATATACTAACAGCTAAGAAAGTTATGAAGGGATCGTATGTCTGGAACTCTTTACTGTATGGTCGAGATTTACTAACAAAGGGATTGTCCTTTGTTATTGGAGATGGTTCTGTTGTAAAAACTTGGATTGATCCATGGTTACATCTACATCCACCCAGACCCCCAAAGCCCCGCAATCAAATGGATTTGAATAGCACAGTTAACACACTATTCAATAGTACCCGAACAGGATGGAATGAAAACAAAGTAAGAGCGCTAGTTGCAGATGAAGACATTGATCATGTTCTGCAAACGAGGCTCTCAAAAATGGGTACAACAGATCTTATCGGCTGGATGTATAATGAATCTGGTCTGTACACCGTTAAGTCAGGATACTGGCTGGCTACGCATCATCCGGACACAACACAAATCACCCCACCGCCTGGAGATGTCACTTTTAAATCCAACATTTGGAAACTTAATATTCCCCCAAAGTTAAAACATTTTCTTTGGAAAATAGTTTCAGGTTCTTTACCAACCGGAGATAATCTTCACAGGCGACACATCACCTCCGCTCATATTTGCAAACGATGCTGTATCGAGTAAGAAACAACGCAATATTTATTCTTTCATTATTCGTAGCTCAATCGATATGGAGAAGAGCCAGCTTTCTGTCCATGCAATTCTTGGATGCCGAAACATCACTAACAACAAAGATGCAACTCTGCCTAAATAATATTCCATCTCAATGGTCTTACATCCAAGAGCTTCCAATTTGGATCCTATGGCGTCTGTGGAAGAGCAGAAACCTCCTTATCTTCCAACGGCAAAATATTCCGTGACAAAAGAGTTTACAATTAGCAAGACGGGATTTCAAAGAATGGACGGATATGGAAGATTATTCACGCTGTACCCAAACTGTAGCAAGACAACAAGGCTTATCTTTCAATCAAACAAGAGTTGGCGGAAATTCAGCAACCAGAAACGTATCAATCTCAAAGGAAAAATGGAAAAAGCCACCAGCAACATGGATGAAATACAACTACGATGGATCTTTTATAAATTCAGATACATGTTCGCAAGCTGGATGGGTTATACGAAATGATAATGGATCATTTAAAGGAGCAGGACAAGCAAAAGGGAATCGCGTATCAACAGCTTTTGAGGGAGAACTACAAGCACTTCTTATGGCCATACAACATTGTTGGAGTATCGGATACAAAAAAGTCATTTTTGAGGGTGATTGCAAGAGAGTCTCATCGGTGATACAAGGGAAAGAACTGAGTTTCAAAATGCATAATTGGATTAGAGATATCCGATGGTGGACATCTCGATTTGAAGAAGCCAAATTTGAATGGATACCGAGGGAGGCAAACTGTGTCGCAGATATAATGTCAAAGCATCGAATACCAAATGATTCAGCGTTTCATTACCATAACATTATTCCTCAAAATATAAAAAATACTCTTGATACAGATAATGTAAACACTATTTAAATTTGTTTAAGAGGAAAAAAAAATATACGATTAACCACTAGAAAAATAAATTATAGAATATTATTTGGAGGCATCTTTTTTTTGGAAAATTATTTGGAGGTATCTTATGAAAGAAATGAATCTTAAAAATATTAGAAGATTAAATGAGAGATTATATATAATTAGTTTGATAAGGATAGAGCTGAAAAAGAATATATCCCTGATGCAAGTAGAAAATTATGAAATGTAGAACACAAAATTCTCATAAGAGAATAAGATGTCACTAGAGAGAAATATATATTTTTTTTAGCCCTTTGTCATTCCATCATCTGTTTAAAAAATATAAGAGGTTATTATAAAGTGAGTATCTTATATTATCATTATCTTAATTATAGAAATATCATACCAAGTTAAAAATAGATTATTGGGATCGTGTAAAGCAGAAAATTGATCACACTAATTGTAGTTGTGTTACCGAATAGTCCAACAAAATTTATGTTATGAAGAAAATCAAAATAAACAGATCACGACAAAAACATAATAAAATTTTTGAGAGAGACTAATCACATTCATATATAGAAAGTGAAGCCTATCAAACAAAATCTATTAAACTAAAAACCATAATTTTACTCCACTTTTGTAAGTTCCCAATTCTAAACTAAAGACAAGAGTTGATCAGAAGGAAAAAAAATGGCTAAAGAAAGTGAAACCCATCAAACAAGGTAGTGTATATGTAGAAAATAAAATAAGTCTAAAATAGTACTCTTGAAAAGTAAGCATTGATATTGATTGAGAAATTTTTTAGAAACGTATCGTAGTGTCGTTAGCCAAAGGACAAAATTTTAGTAATATGTAGGAATAAGTCATCGTCACATGTATTAAGTTTTAAAACACAAATAAATAGATTTTAGTTGGATTGTTGGCTGTTGCAAACAAGTTGGCATATTGATGAAGACTCTTTCTCATCTATAAAAATAAGCCTTTCTGTCATTCGTAGCTTGCAAGTCTCATCATCACCACTAGTTTTAAATTTAATAATTTCCTTTTTTCTCTTTCTTTTTAGGGAAAGTTTCTTTTCCAATTCTCTTTCATGTATATTCCATAATATAAAAATGTTGTACATGGAAGATGAAACAAAAACGACAACGTAGCATGTGGGCATGCGCGGTTGTGGAGATGAAGTGAAGTCATTCATATATAGATCTATATAGATGTTATATTCTTCTTATATTTTTTAATACTAATTTTTAATTGAAAATGGTATTAAGACTCATGCCCCAATCTCCATTCATCTCTACTTTGCAAGTTTTGATATTCATATTCATGTATATATATAGGAACATATACATATCCCTAATTAGTAGCAGTTTATAGTTCATGCAAATAATTTAAATCAGAATTTACATACACATAAAAAACCTATAAAAGACTGCAATATTATTATTTTTATTCGAAACATTTTGTATAACTATATATGTATTGTTGATGATAGTTTATGGATAACAAAGAGAAATCAGTTTTAGCAATTATAAGTACATATGCAGATCGTGTTGTGTGGACTCACACAGTCGCCTCGTCCGTTCCACTTTTGAGCACACTCAGCTGCACATATCATCGATTCACAGTTTTCGTCAGCTGTTATTATATTATGATAACAGACGTTCGGTTGTGCTTGTGTTTCTTTAGTCACCATTCCTAATATAAATAATTTAAAATATTAATCTCAATTTTTTTTATGTATAACAGTAACACTGAATAAATGAGAAAAAGCATGAAAATAATATTTTATGTATAAAGCAAACCTAGGACGAGGACGAGGACGACCACGAAGATAGCAAGATTGTTAGCTTTAGTCATTTTTTGTTGTATAATATAAATGAAAGTTTTGAAGATAAAGGATGATGAGTGTAATGATAATGTACGTACACGTGAATATCATCATATATATAAGAAATTACTAAGTGTCACGAAATCTACAAATTAACTAGAGAATCAACTCATAATTAAGTAGATCTATGCAGTAAACGGAAGAAGATCAAATAAAATAAATAAGAAGAATATCTAGAAATTAACTAAAAGTTAAAACAAATAAAAAGGTAATAAACCTGACTGATATTTTCTTTCGAAAAAAATTAAAAAGGTAATAAATAACAACTAAAATTTAGAACGTACTAAATAATTAAAAAGATGCTGGGAAAAAGGAAAAAAATGATAAAATGTATTTTCAGGAAAGAGATTTAGAAAAACAAAATTTGTTAAAGAAAGAGATTTAGAAACTTGATAAAAATGAAAACAAACAAGAACTTGATAATTCATGACTAATTTTGTTTAGCCAAAAAATATCATAACTAATTTTGTTATGCGCGACATCAAATGTATCAGAAAACTTAGATTAATATGTAATAGATGTTAGTCAATCTATGTATTATCAATTATGCAGTTGGTCCGTGCGCGGACATAAACAAATTCTAATTATTTTAATTATTTGGAATTTTATCATGCACAATGAATTCGGACGTTAGATATCTGTCATTTTATTTGTTTTTCCTGAGTGTTAGATTCCTAATCATGTTATTTTTTTAATAACAAGTTTTACCATTTTGCATTACTTTGATGTGTGCGGACATGAAGTAAAACCGTAGTATATACCACGCATTATAAATTACAATATAGAATTATGATTTTGTTGTTTGTTTAAAATTTTATATGCACGAGATGATGTACATTAACATTTGATAGTGTTTAAAATTATATAGTATTACATTACGAATCATGCCCCGGTCTTTATAAACGATTAGATTGCAAAAAGTTAATCTTTTTATAAAGTTAATATAAACAATCAATTTGTACTTAGCGATATCATAGCACTGCCGCAAATGCTATGGTGGATATTCAAATGTAAGTGGGAAAAGTGACCTTTGAATTTAAAGCGATTTCGTTCTTTTAAAAACTTTTAGATATTTGAAGAAGCAGCTTACATAACTCGTCGTGCTTGCTAGGCATCTTAGTAAAAATAGCTCCTGATGCTCTTCAGCAATATCACCATAAAGGTTCAAGTAATAGTGACCACCTTTTCTTATAAAACAGAGCTCGATGCAACGTTTGCATATATGATTCCGATCAAAAATCTCAATTATACAGTTGACTTCAAACTTGTACGTATATTAAGGCTTAACACACCTAGCAAGTACTCATCGTAAGAATGTAATAATATCTGAATGAAGTTTCACATATTAGAACATAACTTTAAAATGCTTAATCTTTTCTTTCGTCCATATTAGGGGTCTCTTTCCGTCTATTCATATCAATTCCTCTGAAAGCATATTCAAAGCAACTAGGATTCAGCTCTTTAAAGCTTTATTGAAAGAAAAATAGCTCACTGAACTTTATTGAAATGCAAAGAGAAAGGAAATGAAGAAATTTTAGATTGTCTTCAAGAGTGAAAAGATGTTTTATTCATTAAAAGAAGAAGGAGAAGCTGCTCAATGGCAGCCAAAGTTACATTTATCAATGTCTTTTTTTTGTGTGTGGGCCATACATTTATCAATGTCTTACAACAGATATATATGCGAAAACCTAATAACATGGGGTTAGATAGGCTTCTCCTGTTCTCCAATGATAATTTCTTGGGCTTTATGTGTTTTTTTATATAACTATGTGTTCTTTTATATCCACAACCTCTTCATGGAGTTTTAGGATGAAAAATTGATGGGTACTCTATTCTCTCTCGGCATCTTCACATAATAATTTACAAATAATATTACTCCTTCTATTCCATTTTAAATGATTTATAAAGATTTTATTTTGTACTATTTTATTTGAATTTTTACATATCTATGTAAATTTCAATTTGATTTTAATCCAACATTAATTAAAAAAGTTTTGGTCAAATAAGTTCAAAACCTCTAAACATCGACTAACATATATAAATGGCTATTTACATTTAACTTTTATTATTTTTACTGTTTTTAACTTGTTTATTAAATAGTAATTTTATAAAAAAAGTTAGTAATTTAATTTGTGTGTTTTTAGTTAGAAAATCATTTAAAATAAAACCAAAAAAAAGTAATAGGATTTTTCGTAATACTTGCTTTTTCCTTTTATATTTAGATAATAACTACATAGTATACTATATCTTTGTAATATCCACAAAAGAGAGAGAAATGAAAAATGTAGCGGTAAAAATATATATAAAAACAAAAAGAAAAGTAAAAGAAAAAAAGCACATTGGCTATTTCAATTTTTCTCAATTACAAAAACTTTATCAATGAATGGAAACAAAAACAGAATTTTAGAAGCAAAACATAAAAAAAAGAGTAATTGTACTTTAATTTTTTTTTTAATGTTATGTTTGCAATCATACTGGAGAATGCTTGTCTAATTTCTTTGCTTCATGGTTCTCTTTTTCTTGGCTCAAAAGCGGCGTCGTATCCCTGTCTTTCCCCTATTACAAAAGAACAAAACCAACCCAATTCATAAGTATATACTAAAAATTTCTCAAGACTCTTCACTTCTATCTTATTCATTTTGTTGTTGTGATAACGTACAAGAAAAGTGGATTCGTTGGAGCCTTGTTTGGATTTAGAAGCAACGGAGCAGAAGTAGGAGTAGAGAAGCATGCCAAGGACCGCGATGAGGATTCCTGCTACGTTACGAGGAGTGAAAGGATCGTGGAGGAGAGTGTAACCAAATGCGAGCACCAAACACGTTTTGAGATGCCCCAAGACTTGGTATGTCACCGGAGATGTCTTTCCGATCACCAAAAACGTGCTGAAGTTAACCGAAACCGCTATCAAACACGAGAGCGTTATGAACCCCTGCGTGTATACGACAAGATTCACCATTGTCAAGTTTCACAAACTTCTCCTATCTAGCTAGATTGTTATAATACGATAAAGTTCATAAATGGGCTATATCACAATACCACTATATATAGTTTTATGTGAATACCAATAAGCAATTAACGAAATGATTATTGATGATGTGAAATTACCACAACGATAGGAGAGTAATGGAAGGAGAAGACATTGAGGCGAGTGAGGTATTTGTCGACAAATGGACCCGAGACAAAGAGTATAGCGGCTTGGAACGGGGCTGATTGGTATAGGAGTTGTGTTGATGTCACGTTCAGTCTCTTTTGGATTGTGTTTGTTAGCTTCACCACAACATTTCATTAGTCATATTAATTACTATAATACAGATCAGTCGTTATATGTTGCTTTTTATAAGAGATGTGAATTGAAAAGCTTACAATTTGGCCGACGCAAGTGGTGGCGATGGCAAGGAGAGAGAGAACAGAGCCAACAAAATTGAGCTGAAGATCTGTGATTGATGCTATTCCAACCCCAACCAGCAGTAAAAATAATGCAAATTTTATCTTCCGGCTGCAAAATCAAATATGTCACTATTTCTCGAGGAACATGTATGATGCATACGTGTAATGAGTAATTATACACTAAAATGTAAGCAAAGATTCACCTAAACTTCTTGTTGAAGAAGAGAGTTTCCAATAGAACAGTGAATGGTATAATAGCAAGTTTGGTCATCTGCCATTATTTTTAAGGATAAGCATCAAAATTGGTTAATCATGAAATGTTACATAATGAAGATCAAAACTATGTAGAAGATTTTATTTACTTGATAGAAACCGATGGAATTGAAACCGAGGCTGAGATTGAGAAGACCAATGGAGATGCCATTGAGGAGGCCAAATAGAACAACAGTCTTCGTGTCTATTGGTTTATTCTCAAAGAAATTTAGTCTATATGCCACATGAAGTGTGCAATATGTTACCATCAAATGCCAACTTGTTAGCGTCGTTGCTGCAATAAAACCATAGCCAAAACCGATTAATCATCAGCCGAATAATCGATTTTGATAAAGATGTAAATTTACAAGATATGTGTTGTCACATTGATTGAATGAATATTCACTTAATCATCTTTATAAAAGGTAGCAAAAAGAGTAAAGTAACAATACCAAAAGGGAAGCCAAGATTGGTCATCAAAGCTTTGTTGCAAATAACAATGGAGACAGAAGATGCAACTGAGAGAAACAATGCTCCAATCACACCCATTTGCATACTCTTCATCTCTCCCATTTTCCTCTCTCTCTCTCTCCTCTCAACCCTTCAAATTTATCAAATAAAGAGAGAGAAAGAGAAATATGTATATTTATGAGAGAGAGAGAGAGAGAGAGAATGATTGTGAATGTGATGAGGAATGAAATGCAAAAGAGATATATGAGGTTTTTAGTCTAATAATGGTTGGTGCCTAACACCAAACCTCTAGTAGGTGTCTTCTGTTCTTCCTAATTTTATTTTTATTTATTATGTCATATATATTTAATTATACACAAGCATGATACATGAGAAAAACTACTATGATGTTGCTTAACATATGTTTTTCCTCATAAGAGACTTCTACTAATGATATGAAAGCAAACGTTTAACCATACAAAAATACTGAAATTTAAACAGCCAAACAGAGGGGAACTAATAAAGTAAAAGAATGACATTATGAGTTTCTATGGACAAACAATTGACTTGAATCAAAAGCAAAAAGGAAGGTGAAACTGAATTTTTCAGGCTTTTTCTTTTGGAGGAAATAATTTAAAATGCAGACAATATAAATAAAATAGAATATTTGATTTGGTGTAAAGCTTCAACCTTACTCCAAACTAATATTACCCCTTCTCCTCTTCTTAATTTCTCTACCAATTACGTTATCTATTAAGAGAAATGCATAATTGATCTATTTTGTTGAAATTTGTGACGATGAAAGAATAAAAAACGTGAGACTGGTAAATCTGGTAATCTTATTGGTCTTTCCAAAATCAAAAAGAAAGAAAATTTAAATCATGAGTTATGAGTTGTGACACAAGATTACGAAGCACAACTACTCTTTAGTCTAGTTGAGATAATTTAGGTTTGACATTTCCCAAATTTACTTTTATCTTATGAAAATTATGGAATATAGTAATTATTACTAAATTAGTTTATAATTACCAAAACTTACAATTTTTTTAAAAAATGGTGCAAGTAGAAGTGGTCGTCGTGATCTCACATATTAGTGATAAAGTTGTCTATTATAAATTTGGCGGAGAGCCAGAGCCTGGAGATAAAACCATCATAGATATTTGTAGACATCTAAAATTGTCAATTGTAATATCGTTTGTTATGGAAATCGTTCATGTGGTTGTTCAAATTATTAATAATTCAGAGGAGCAATAAAAAAAAACTTATGAAAACTAAAATATAATTCAGCTTTTTTTAATCTCTATTTTTGTGTGCTTTGGGCTCGAATCCTGTTTTTGGCTAAACAGTCAAACCAATATTCTTTCAGCTTGATTTTTATCAATTTCACGAATTAATCACCTCAAATCAATACAACAATAACACTCAAGTCTCTTCATAAGACGACATATCAGCTTTTTCAAGCTTTTTAAAATTGACACTTCAGCAAAAAAAAACTTCAATCAAAACATTTTATTAATACACATCATTTACTAACTTTATTACTTTTAACTTAAACCCATTAAAAACTCAAATATTTTTCTTTATTAATTTTTGTTTTATTTTTTACCAAACTCAAACCCAAATAATAAATAACAGCAAATAAAAAATTGTTTTATTTTTTACCATCCCCAAATCCAAATAATAAATAACAACAAAAAAAAAAAAATTTATTTTTGCCAAACCGAAACTCAAATAATAAATAACAGCAAAAAAAAATTTTAATTTCTAACTATGTGTTTGCTTGATAGAGACATATATGACTGAAGAAAGTGTAGACTCAATATCAACTATACTTCCATAACAACAACACAAAAAGCGTTATGTTATAAGAAGCTCACACATCAGCAAAAATTTGAACCAATAAAAACATAACAATAATACATATTATTAACACATTATTACAATCAGTTTATTATTTTGCTAACCCATTAAAAAACCCAAAGTTTACAAAAAAATAAAATCAAAAGCAAATAAGGAGAAGCTCAAACCACCACAACTTGGAGATTCGCATTTCTGGTGGTTATCGAGAACAAATTTTCTTGGTTTGGCGGGAATAACGAATTTTTTGGTTTCGGTAGGAAAATATGATTTTCAATTTTGGTAAAAAAATATAATTTCTCGGTTATGGCGAAAAAAATAAATTCTCGGGTTTGGCGGAAAAATGTGAATTTTTGGTTTTGATGATAAAAAAAAATTTGATTTTGACGCAAAAACAAAATATCTTAGTTTTGACGAAAAATACGAGGGAAATGCAACTTTTCAATTTTGACAAAAAATACGATTTCTCAGTTATGTTTTTATTGGTTCAAATTTGCAATCACATTTTTTTGTTTTTGCAGGTAGATGAAATATTTTGGAATTGGTGAAAAAACTTGATTTCTCTGTTTTTGTGTGAAAACACATGTTCTCGCGAGAAAATGTGATTTTTTTTTATTTTTGCGAGAAAATGCAATTTTTTGTTTTGGTAGGAAAATAAAATTTCAGGTTTGACGAGAAAATGATTTTTTTTGGTTTTGGCGGGAATATGCGATTTCTCAGTTTCGTGAGAAAATGTAATCTTTTTGTTTTGTCGAAAAATGCAATTTCTCAGTTTTAGTAAAAAGATAAAATTTCTCTGTAATAAATTTTCAAGTTACAATATGTTTATAGTAACCAAACTTGAATTATTTAACTTCAACTAAATTAATATTTCAACATTTCAAACAGAACTTTCTATTTAGTTCTAAAGCAATAGCAATGATTTTGATATGAATGTTATTGATTATAGTTTGTTAGTTTTAGAAACATATGTTTATAATAAATATTTGATAAATAAATAGATTTTATAATTTAAAATAATCATATTAAAATAATAATTGTTTTTTTCAAATGACAATTTACTTTATATAATTTTAAAGGAAGATTAAGTGGCAATATTATATAGAAAATAAATTACATTTGCCATTAGTATGAATGTACTTAAAAATGTATTGTTTTATTTTTACATATACATTTATAGATAGTTAGCTAAACAATTTTGATAATAGATTATAATTTTAAAAAATAAAAAAATTAAGAATATATAGTGTTTATTCAGATTTAAAATATAGAAAGTATTATATAATATTCATTTATATTATAAAAATAATTTTATTATATTAAAAATATATATAAAATCTAGAAAAATATCATGGAGGTAAATACCTAGTTCTTCACAAAGAGACTTATGCAAAATCAATAAACTAAACAAAACATAACATTCAACTCAAAATTCAACACTAAAAATCTCACACAATATCGATATAACAAAGGGGTTTTCACCTTCACATGCGCTATCATAAACCTATTTAGCGTAAAAAATATTTTGATATACAAAACGAAGTTTTTTTTGTTTTTTTAACTTTTTGATACAAAAATCTATCTTTTTTTTTACCCTTTTACCATCCTCCCAAGATACTCTTTATCAGCTTCAGCTAATCGATTCTGAAACATTGTCCATTCTTTTTTGCATCTCTCTCTCACTCCTTGCCACGGAGCTTTCCCATTCTCTGACTTACCTTGACTTCCAAGCGAAGGTATCACTTTATGTATTATCCATTGCGAATCCACAACACCAATCTTCTCATGAGCAGGCTGCAACAGAAACACAAACACAGAGAGATTTTCATTATCAATCTATAAGAACCCTAGCTAGAAAATCCAGATGGACAAAATTGTACTTACTTCAACACATCTTCTGAGAGCAAAGTCGAGACCCCATCCATGAACAAGATCGTTCTGCAACAGAAAACATATCCATATAACTTCATTTCAAATCATCAAGTAAATAGTTTGGACTAGACAAAAGATCTGAGATAAAAACACAAACTTGAATCATATGCCACACACATCGCCATGCTTCTCGAGAAAACACAGGCGCCATTATTTCAACAAACCTGTGTGATGGGTGGGAAAATTCAGTACTGATAGTGACTAAGCACTCTTGAATGGGGATAGAGAGAAGAACAAAGAGAGAAACTTACGCAGCGCAAGGAGGTAAATGTGGGTCACTACACCATCCTGGTTTTTCTTGAGTATCTCTGTTCACCAGTAAAAAACAAACACATACTCAAAACAGAACCAAAGCCAAAAAGGGAAGAGTATGGTGTGACAGAGAAAGAGAGAATAGTGTGAGAGAGGGAGAGAGGGAGAGAGGGAGAGAGGGCTTACTTGTGGACCTCTCGGTCACCTCGTCTCTTTGTCATTTCCCATGTGAGTCCATTGTTAGGCTCTAAACCTGGTTGAGAAATCTCTAAACCATGCTTCTTAACTAACTGAATGTACCTGAAATTTTCAATAAAATTCCATTACAAAAAATGCAAAGAAGATGACGTTGTTCGGTTGTTGTGCTACTACAGAGAAGTAACTTACTTATCCGCATTGAAGTGCGCCACATCAAGATCTTCATCCCATATAAATATGTACTCGTAAGCTGACACGACATCAGGATGCAGAAATCTCTTTGCGTACCACCTGCCAAAACCAGTCAAGAATTTTGATAACACACACATAATCTACAAGTTTTTAACAAAATGTTTGATAACAATATGACTCACCATTTCGTTTGCTTTCTTGTACTAATATGAATCGCGCTCTTCGACCACTCAAATTGGTCCCATTCAGTTGTCCGGCCATCATAATGGAAGAGCAGAATTTGAAAATCTTCAGAAAACTGAAGAAATGACAAAAAAATCAGATTTCAGTGTATGTACATATACAAAGAAAATACACAAATACCGGCGAAAACATGTGGATAATACATAACCTTCTTAACAACTGAGTTAATATGGTTCCTCTGCTCAAACCCAACTGTAAATGTCACAAGATACTTCGGCTTCTTCTTCAAATCCTGCAAAGGTTATTGTCTCGCGATTAAAAAAAATTCCACTCATTCATATAAATGCAAGGCATGTTTGCCCAAATGTACATCACAAGTAAACAATATACATAGAAAGCACATACTTCATTAGGTTCTCCCCATAATCTCCGCAAGTAAAAATCAGTTTTCGCCACAACAATTCCAGGAGGTAGTAGTTCCGCACCGCGCGGGTTGGTCGGAACATATATCTGCAAATCACACAGTCAGAAAATATTAAGACTCTTGAATCAATGTTGAAAGAGAAGAACTCAAGATTCAAGAATGGAAACAGAAGAGAAGATGAAGATGATGAAAATCTCTGTTATACACATTAATCACTATACAATCGTATCACTAAACCAGCTCAACCTCATAACCGAAACTAAACCAGATACATTTCATCCCAACGAGGCAATATAGTTGAAAAAGCTAACATAAACAAATCTATCTCGTTCTCTGAGTACATTCATGGAACTGAATTGTTTATCTTCAACCTCACATGTTGAAATAGCCTTTGAAGATGTTATATATAATACCTCAGGGAATTTTCTTGAACCAAAATCTTCAGGAGATTTGTCACCACCAGATAACAGTTTCCCATCTGATATGGCTACATCAAGAGATGATATAAGGGCCGAAGGTAAGTTAATCTGCAGGAATATACGAAATCGAAATCAACCTTGTGAAAGTGAAAGGGAACTTTAAAAAGAGAAGATTCAAACCCTATGAAGCATAAACATCATACCTTAAAAGAAACTGAGGGTAATGTGATGCCAATGAAAGTCCCAAACACTATTCCCAGGATCGTTGTGATTATAACCTTTGCGTTTTCGTTTGTTCTTCGAGGAGCACCACTGCAAAGCTAAACACTAAGTAATCTTCAAACTGAAAAGCAAAACTCTGAATATTCTTTTTGTATTACAATCAAAGAGCACCAGAAAAATAATATACCTTCGGTGCATTGTTCCCATTTGTTTTGGTTTTCTGCAAAATCTCCAAAATTTGAATCGTTTCCTCAGCTTCGAAATTAGTTCTTCAAGTGTTTGAGCAAAACTTCGTGTTTAAGCAATGAAACCACACTGAAAACGACAGATTAACATTTTTTAAACGAGAAATTCGAGAATGATGGTCTAAACATAAGCAATTTGAGTGATGGTCATAAATCGATTCATGTGATCCTAAAATTGATTTAAACTATCAAAAAACAAGAATTAAGCGCAGAAGAGATGATGAATCGCAGTTTAATCGTCAAAAACGAGTTTCTGGAAATCGAAAACAGGAATGAAAAATGCGATTTACTTACGGGGTTAGATCTCGGAGATCTGAAGAAACATATCAACACGCCGGAGAAAACTACGGATGAGATTAGGGCTCAGAGGAGATTTTTCCGATCTGCGAGAGCAGAGAGTGAGGGGAGAGTGAGGGGAGAGTAGGTGACGAGGCCTATTTTGCAACGAATTGTTGGGTTTTTTTAAATTCTCAAAGGCCCAAACTTAATAAATAATTAAAAAAGTGAACCTCTATTATTGTGTTGCAAACATTTGTTCCTTTTCTTTAAAAAAAAAAAAATCTTTTAATACATTCTTTCGAGCCAACAAGATTTGAAATTTTAAAAACCTTTTTGTTGATTAATGCTTAATCAAGATTCATTAGTCAAGTTTAATTAATGGCATGGACTCCTGGTGGTAACAGCAAAAAGAATAATTAGAAAAATTTGATTATAATAAAACAAAAATTTAGTTGAATAACACATTTGGCTATAGCTTTCTTAAGCCAACATCTTCCTCCTCGTGAGATGTATGATTACGATATGTTACTCTCTTTACTTTTTGCACTTTGAACAAAAGAATTATATAATTGAACATTAAACATATTTCTTCAATCTATACGTCCGGATCCCATGAAAATCTTCTGCAAACAACAAACAGATATATTGTTTAATATATACTATGATGTTATGTTTCTTAATATATTGTAATTTTAACACGTAAAAGCTATATTTAACAAGGGTCTTTGACACATGAAGGTGAAATTGAAAGAGTCTTTCTTCATCTTACCTCTTCGTGAAAATTTTGTAGCTTAATCATGTAAGATCTAGATATCTCCCTAAAAGAAAATATAAAGATTGTGGGGGCAAAATATATAGTTTTATTAAATTTAGCCGAAGTTCGAAGAGTACAAGAGATTTAGGTCGTCGGAAAAGAACGCCGATCTAAATTTTAGAAGTAAAGAATTGAGATCTAGAACAGTAAGCAGTAAGTTATTATTTGCCCTAGGTCTCGAGTTTGAAGTTGTGAATGAATGATCTTCGAGGGAGGGGCTCTTCTTATATAGCCTTCGCAGACCGCCTTGAAATTAATCCTTCTCCTTCGGAATTAGGATAATTTCCTTTCTTCGCGGGGTTCTCTTTCCTTTTCTTCCGCGATTCGAATATATCCTCGGATATTTCCATATTTGAGCGTCGACTTAACTCCGGAGGCAGAGGTAGGGTTTCAAATGGACCTTATCTCAATTTATGAAGGGCTTCTAGCAAGGGGTGCTAAACCCATCACTAACAATTAGAGTTCGACGATCTGAGTAGCAGGTTAGGAGAACATGAGAAAAAGGTAGCTCGGTATAAATTGAGATCGGGGCATTTCAGAGCACGGGGTGCTTGAAAGCTACATCAATCTATACGAACTCCTGGTTGGTACGTTTCAAGATCGGGACTTGAACCGAATAAGATAGATCGGGGCCGCGTGTATAAGACCGGTGACATTATAGGTCGGGTTGTGAATCGCGTATAATAGGTCGGGCCTTATTATAGGACAGGCTGCGAATCGCATATAATAGGTCGGGCCTTATTGTAGGTCGGGTTCATAAGCCGCCTTTCTCGAGCCGGAATAGTCTCTTCGTCTTCTGGGACGCGACACACGTCAACTTTTCAAATATATTTAAGCACGGAAAATATAAACCGTCGTAATGATTACGGATATCTCGAAAACCATTTTCGATTTTGTATAAAAAGGGGATGATGGTCTTCATTTCTTCTCGCAAAAATCTCCGAATCAGGTTCGCTCTCCCTTCTCTCTTCTTTCTCTCTCTAGAATTTCTGTTCTGTAGGTCCGGTAGTCCTAGGATAGATATGGGCGTCTGTAGAAAACCGTACAGCCAGTAGAAGCCCGTACAACCAGTAAAGATTTAGGTCGGGATCGTTGTAGTTATCGAAGATGAATCCTCGCAAAGCATCTAAAGGGAAGGAAGTGGTTTCCTCGCCGTTCGAATCGGCAGGTAGTGTTAGCTCGGGATCAGATAAGTCTGGTCGTATGTTTGCGCGAGCGATGGGAATAATTATATCGAGATGAAGAGAGACCAGCAGGAGCACGCGTCGAGGCGCTTCGAGGAAGGGCAGTTAGGTTTTGTTGCTCGGGGCGATGCCGGGCCATCGACAGTGCGGGTTCCAATCGAGATACCCGAGCTGAGGGATGAATCAGACGAGGCCGGGAGTGCCGTCAACATGTCAGATCGGGGTGATGGCGATGAGATCGGGAGTGCCAACGCTTTAGCTGAACGAGACGAGGCCGAGATAAAAGACGAGCCTGTTAGCCTTGGGGCTTCGGAGGAATTGTGGAAGAACGGGATCCTCGATAGTTCACATTACATAAGAGACCTTTGCAGGCTGCCTACGTACCCAAAATGGGATCAAACCATTCGTAGTTCACATTACATAAGAGATAACTAGCTCGGTAAGAGCTCCTTTTTTGTTTTTTTTTGTAGCCCGGGGCGTTGTAGAAACCTTCTAGCTGTAGTAGCGCTTCAGACTCATCGAGTTCCAGGAACGGGGAACTTCGTCGCCAGCCGTTGTTTCCAGACGGTAAACTCCGGGCTTGATGACTCGCGTGATGATGTAAGGGCCTTCCCAATTAGCCCCAAGCTTGCCAGCTCGCCACTCCTTCGTATTCTCGTAGACCTTCCGAAGGACAAGGTCTTCTTCCTCGAAGTGACGATTTCTGACCTTCTTGTTGTAGTAACGGGCTGCCTGGTTCTGGTAGTTTTGCATCCGGAGTAAGGCTTCATTACGCTTTTCTTCCAATGTGTCCAAATTGTCGATCAGCATCACCTCGTTGAGTCGGGGGTGTTCGGGTGCAAGGGTGCGTCGAAGGCTCGGGACGTTTGCTTCTGCGGCAACCATCACTTTGCATCCGTACGCTAAGGAGAATGGGGTCTTGCCGGTGGCCGTGCGGGGTATTGTACGATGGGACCAAAGTACACCATCGAGCTCGTCGGCCCAAAGTCCTTTCTTTGCTTCGAGTCATTTCTTGATTCCGTCAAGGATGGTTTTGTTGGTCGCTTCTGCTTGACCGTTTCCTTGAGGGAAGCGCAGGGTGGATTTGCTTAGCCGTATCTTCCATAACTCGCAGAAGCCTTCAAACTTCTAGGAGATGAATTGGGAGCCGTTGTCCGTTACGATCTCGTAGGGTAGCCTGTGGCGGCAGATGATGTACTTCCAGACGAAATTCTGAACTTCCTTGTCTTGGATTCGAACGAATGCCTTGGCCTCCACCCACTTTGTGAAGTAATCCGTCATGATGAGCATGTATTTCCTTTGACACGAGGAAGGAAGCGGTCTGACGATGTCCATAGCCCATCGCATGAAGGGGTAGGGCGGGACGGCCGATGTAAGTAGCTCGGTTGGCTGGTTGATCATCGAAGCGTGCCTTTGACAATACTCACACTTCTTCGCGTAGTCTTTGAAATATGCCATCATCGTTGGCCAGAAGTAGCCTGATTTCTTGATCTTCATGACAAGGGCCCGTCCTCCGGAGTGGTTACCTCCGGCTCCGTCGTGAGTTTCCTTAATGATGCGGCAGATCTCGTCTCCAGCAATGCAATGTAATACGACGTCCGCGGCAGTCCATCGGATGAGATGTTCCTTATGAAGTGAATAGTGAGGGCTGTGGACTCGGAGGCGACGAGCTGCCCAACGGTCCTTTGATTCCACGCCATCGGATAAGTAAGCACGAATTTCGTCATGCCAGTCTTCTCGCTCCCGTTCTGTTGGTTCCTTGAGCGGGGCGTCGGTTTCATCCTCTTAATATGTAACAGAGCAAACGCCACGATCCGGATCGATGCTCGGGGCGTCGATGCTTTGGATCAGGATCAACCGGCGGAGGTCGGTGTCTTTATTTGAAGCCAGGACAGCCAAGGCGTCTGCTTCAGCATTTTCTGCTCGGGGTATCTTGGACAGTTCAAAGGTCTTGAACTTTTTTTCTAGGCTCTGAACAAGTTTGAGATACTTTTTTGTCCATCCGTTCGTCTTTGGCGTCGTAGTCTCCGCTGAACTGGTTTGCCACGAGTTAGGAGTCGCAGAATGCTCGGATGTGTTCGATGTTCATGCCACGAGCGAGTCGTAGTCCAGCGATGAGGGCTTCGTACTCGGCTTCGTTGTTGGAGGCCAGAAAATCCAAGCGGAATGATTGCTCGAGGACTTCGCCAGTCGGAGATTCGAGCTGAATCTCGATCCCCGAGCCGTGCCGGTTGGATGAGCCGTCCACGTGAAGATTCCAGTGTTGAACCGTGGTGAGGTCCTCACTGAGAAGCTCGGGTGGCAGTTCGACCAAGAAATCGGCCAAGACCTGGGACTTGGCGCAGGTATGGGTGCGGTAGTCGATATCGAATTCAGAAAGCTCGATTGTCCACTTGGCCATCCGATCGGCTTGGGTCGGGCTGTGAAGAATCGTCCGAAGAGGCTGACTCGTGAGGATAGCTATCGTATGAGACTGGTAGTATGGGCGCAGCTTCCGAGATGATACGACTACTGCAAGGCCGAGCTTCTCTAAGGTCAAGTATCGAAGCTCCGCGCGGTCTAAACTTTTACTGATGTGGAAGACCGGCTTCTGTTTACCACGGTCTTCTCGGACGAGGACTCCGCTAATGGCCGAGCTTGATAACGCTATGTATAGGTTTAGCGTTTTGCCATCTTTGGGTTTGG